AAATAAAAATATCAATAAGAACACCGTATTATATATCTTACTGTTCTTTCTTTTCTTACTTTATATATATATATATATATATATATATATATATATATATATATATATATATTAAACTTGATGTAATTAGAATAAGCTAGCGTTTTTAATACTGTCGCCATGGCGTTTCTCTTATACGGACTTAGTACAACCTATACCCGTGGGATTACAGTGGCAATAAAGAGTTTTATTAAACTTGAACGTGATGTACTTGGAATACGCTAGTGATTTTAATATCGTCGACTATGCAGAAATTCTCTCATACAACCTTTGTACTTTATATGCATGTGGAATCTCTGAGACAGTTATGAGTTTCATGAAACTGTATTAGAAGTCGGCTCACGTTTTCGCCTTGAATGTTATCAGAAGCTTGATTTGTTCCAGCTTCGTTGTTATTATTTAATATTTAGGCCATGTTCATTGACGTTTTGGCCTTCGTTTTGTTTCACAAGTATAAAATAAAAGATCCATAATCAATAAAATTTAGTAAAAAAAAAAAGTTTTCAATAATGAGATTTAACAACCAGATACTCCGTATATCTGGTCGAGTTTCTTACACTCATTTCTGCACGAATACCCTTGATTCCGTTCCTTTGCCACTTAACCCCTCAACCAAGCTAAGGGTTAAACATCTGGTCTAACTAGGCTCTTTAGTTGGGGTTGGTAACCAGTTTAGAAGGAGGACAACTCCCAGTTCAAAATTGAGCCACCAGAAGGTGTACAGAGACGATTAGGCATGAGAAGATATTAAGCCTTTAAAACAAAAGATTTAAGCAACTGTGGGTGATTCAGCTGGAGAGCGATTATAGTGTTCGCTGTTAACATTAACGGGTTTTGAGCCCATGGAAGTTGGATAGATGTATCTCTGTCGAGATCTGGCCGAGTAATATTTTAGTAATATCATTTTAATATCACTTATATATTTGACGCTAATCTGTAAAATGAAGAAGCAAAATCACACACGTAGACATGGACATCAAATAATAATAATAGTAATAATAATAATAATAATAACAATAACAAAGCGTCCTGTGTATAACGATCAAGTTCGTTCGGCAGCCAGGCCTCTAATCTGGAGATAATCTTGCCTAATTTAAACATCAGATTTCACTCCTGGGTTTGACGATAAACTACATCCGACAGCAAGATTTCTGATCGGGAGATTAGAGGTTTTAAGGAACGTTGAACCACCTCTTAATTGCTGTTGTTCCTTGATCCACCTTGGCCCGATATAATAACACCCGTTAGGGTAACAGTTATGGACACATAGTGGACATCTAAAAAAAAACAAAAGACTATGAAAGTATCAAAATATACGTTTATAGTAAAAATACCAATAATACAGTTTTATATTTAAAAAAATACCAGCAATACTTATTTATAGTAGAATTACCAATAATCCATTTTATCTGTAGTCAAAATTCCCATATATATATATATATATATATATATATATATATATATATATATATATATGTATATATATATATATATATATATATATATATATATGTATATATATATATATATATATATATATTTTGTGTGTGTGTGTGTGTGTGTGTGTGTGTGTGTTTAGGCAGCAATCCTTCTTTCATGTGCTTCTATTTAGTTTTTTATACATTTTTTTTTCTTTTCAGATGAAAATTATATAAAAACTGCCCGAATGTTCTTTTTATCCGAGCGCTTTCGGCTATACATTTAGCCATTTTCAAGGATGAAATATTTTAACTGTTAAATAAGAAATGTTTTCATTTTTCAAAACACGGTCAAGTTATTGTGTCCGTGTTCAAAGTTAATATTATTAAGTTTTTTTTTGTTTATATTAATAAGGCTTCCATTATTTTTAGCCTTTTTTTGCATGTAGATGATGTTATTATATTAGTGTTGTAATAATGTTAGTATGTTACAAATGTTATATATTCATATATATATTATATATATATATATATATATATATATATATATATATATATATATGTATATCATGGATAGATAGATATGTACCAGTAATGTTATTAGCCATTATCAGAGCATTCTGCAAATGTCTAGTCTTACGAGAAGGTTCTAATAATGCCGAAAGGTAAAGTATTGACTATTTCACATAACCAACACATTTTGTCTCTTTGAAAGATGGGAACCGTTACAGAACGATTTCTAACAACCTGAATATTCCTTTTTTTTTTTTTTTTGTACAAATATTTATTCCCCCCCACTATCTCTCTCTCTCTCTCTCTCTCTATATATATATATATATATATATATATATATGTGTGTGTGTGTGTGTGTGTGTGTGTGTGTGTGTGTGTGTGTAAAATAGCTTCTCAGACAAATAGGAAATTCCGCCGAAAATAGTGTCAAGTTCATAATGAGAGTATATATATATATATATTCATGAATTATTCATATAAAAAAACAAATACAAAGGTTAATGATTTAATTATGAGAAATCCATCGTCGCAAACAATTCAAATAATATACAAAACCCCGAACCTGTTTATGAATGAAAAGATCCTTGTTTTATAAATTTCTGTTGCATTAGTTCTTATTTTTACTACAAGCTTTCGTCTGTTCCTACAGACATCTTCAGGTATAGAATAGATGTTGTTCTTGATTTTTTCTCTTAGTAATAAGAGGACAACGAAAATATATGTATTGTTGTATCCGAAAAATGCTATTGGAAATGAGTTATTGTTTTTGGAGTGTGCAGTAGCAACGCTGAGTTTGATTTTAAATTTTACAGTTGTGCGTTCTTGTACAAATATGGTGATAAGTGAATTCTTTTTTACTGGTAAATTTTCTGTCAAAGTGGCATGGACTATATTGTTCAATAATTAAAGTAATGTCACACTTATTATCCAAAAGTTGCACTTGGATCAGTTATTTTAGTTTCAATAAAGGTGCAACTAATTTACAAATTCATGAATTATTCATACAAAAAACATATATATATATATATGTCAGTATGTGTGTATGCGTGTGTGTGTGTGTGTGTGTGTGTGTGTATTTCTGACCATGAGACACGAGTTCGAATCTTACCATGGTCGATATGTCAGGAAGTCACCTTCCTGATGTGTCGACCATAATCGGTCTGGAGAGGGTCGATCCGAGCATTCGGCACCTCTAGAAAGTGCCGGAAAAGCATACCACGGGTTGAACCACGCCTTGTTAGTGAAATTAGGTAGACGGTACCCTTGGGGGCCATCGTTGCCCGTGCTTGATTCAAAATCGTACGACTCATACAGCAATCGCTGTCACTTGACTTAAAATATTTTGCCCTTCCTTGCCTTTAAAGGGTGCCCTTTGCCGGGCTGATGTTGCTACATGCCTTACTTCTTGCCTATCTCACACTGCCAATTTTTTCCTAAGCTCTATACTAAACATTAAATCTGTTATGAAAAAAGAACTAAACAAAATGAACACAAAACGATCAGCTTTAAAAAAGGACTCGTTAACTGGAAAACCGAATGAAAAAGAATGTTAACAACAAATACTTTTTCACACCCAACCCAGTTCTGCGGAATCAGAATCAACGTTGAGTTTAAGCAAGCGAATGAGCCAATTGGAGTAAAGTGCCATGTAGATTTAAATTTTTCCCACTTGTGACGAATGCAGCTATCGATTTTTTTTTTGCATGCTAGCATGCTAGTTAACATTCGTGTCAGTCAGCTGTTGGCTCTAACGCTGGCCAATAGAATCTTCCTGCCTATTCGTGGCAGCCAGCTATAGGCTCTCACTCTGGGCAGTAGAAAATGGCTGCAAACTACATGAAAACTGCCGTTGAAGCATGAAAAAATCTATTATTTCCACTATCGATGGGAGTTGGGAAATGCAAAGTTGGTCTTGGCCTTCCCCGCTAACTTGGAGCATGTGCATGTAAATTTTGGTGCAAATCCGTCGAAAATTGCGGCCGTATATTCGTTACACACACACACACACACACACACACATCCTGCCTTTTATAGGTAGAGACAACATATATTTTCCCTCAAAATACATACGTACATTAAAAAATCCATACATTCAATTAAAATAAAAATAAAACCATTCCTGATAACGACTAAAAGTGTAGCCAAAATATATATATATAGCTAAAATTTGATTCTGAAATTACCATATTAGTAAAAAACGCAGTATTAAATTTTCAAAAAAAAATTCAATCTTAGCGTTGTGACTGCACGCTCCAAAAGTTTGTATCCGTTAGCAATAACACATTTAAAATAAGAAAAACATATTTCGATTCGCATTTAATTTTTTCGTCTCTGATGCTACCTGCCTTTTACTTAAAACAAAGTAATTTCCATGCCTGAGGATGACTGTATGTACAGCCGAAAGTACTTTCAGATTAAAAAAGACCTTATGCAGCTTAAAGTTATTAAAACAAGCATCATAACATTCATCGAGTGGTTCGTAGGTTAATGCAACTTAAGCAAGAGATATCGCCATTTTATATCATTAAATTTAGTAATCTACTTTTTGTATGAATGATTCATTGTAATATAAATTGAACTGCACCAAATATTTGATATATATATATATATATATATATATATATATATATATATATATATATATATATAATTATTTAAAAAAATATGATTCCAACACGCTACATAAGAGTTCTCATGTTTCAAAACATTCCACAAACAATTTTACCTAACGAGTTCTTTCCTATTTTCTATATATTTTCACACAATGGTAGACTGATATGTATATCAGTCTACCATTCGTCCATGATTAGAATATTGCTACCACATATAGTCCGGTGCTCCTGCAATTAACCTTGGACTCTTTGATAAAATCCAGAGAAGAATCAGCAATATTGTTGGTACTGATCTGGCAGCTTAGCTTCTCTCCTTTTCCAACCGCAATGTGCCAGATTAATTTCCTTTGAAAATGCTGAATTCATTTATTATGAACGTGTTCAACTCCATCATCAACAAATACCAATTCGTTACTTAATGTTCCTCGCTCTTTTGATACTTGCCGTCAAGTCTTTTGTTCATGAGGATCTGCTCTGCATTAAAATTTAAACACAATATCCTAATAAAACAATGGACGCCTTGTGTCAATATTGAATCTTTAGGGCGCTGTTAGAACCTCTTTCACTTGATTAGTTTCCTAACGTTGAAACCAAAACGAAAATTGCTGGAATATCAACTTCAAAAACAATCACATCGATGTGGTCGTTGATAATAAAAGGTAATTTTGTAGTTATTCGCTGACTTATATGAAGATTGTGGATTTTCATATTCTACATTTTGTCTTCGTAGGGTTTTTTTTTTTTTTTACATGTTCCGAAATTATTTTTTTCTGTAATCTCGTTGTTTAAAATCAAAGCATTCGACTGGATTAAATTGTTCCATTCGGGATTTGTGTTTATACGTTTCTGTATTGTTTTGTTTATTTTCGGTATTTTGTGGTAGTTCTTTCTTTCTTTCTTTCTTTCTTTCTTTCTTTCTTTCCCCTCCTTTACATAATATAAACTTTTTTTTTGGGGGGGTAGTTTCTTTCTTTCGTAATATTCCACCTCGTGTTCTTTCTTTCTTTGAAACTGGCATCAATATTTTCTTACCCGTCTTTTATACAATCTATTCAATATTTCTTTCTTTTTATCCACACTCATTCTTTCTTTCTCTCTATTCCTACTCATTCTTTCTTTCTTTCTTTCCTTCTTTCTTTCTTTCTTTCTTTCTTTCGTTCTATTGCTACCTATTCTTTCTTTCTTTCTTTATATTGCTATTCATTCTTTCTCTCTCTCTTTCTTTCTGTTCCTACTCATTCTTTTTTTCTTTCTTTTTTCTTTCTCTTTCTACACATTCTTTCTTTCTTTCTTCCTTTCCTTCTTTCTCTCTTTCTTTCTTTCTTTCTTTCTTTCTTTCTTTCTGTTCCTATCCCTTCTTTCTTTCTTTCTTTCTTTCTTTCTTTCCTTCTTTCATTCTTGCTTGCTTGCTTGCTTTCTTTTCATTTCTCTTGAAGTTTTCTTTAACTCTTTTTCTTTCTTTCTTTCTTTCTTTCTTTCTTTCTTTCTTTCTTTCTTTCGTTCTGTTCCTTCCTCTCTTCTTTCTATTCCTTCCCTCTTGCATATCTTTCTTTCTTTCTTTCTTTCTTTCTTTCTTTTCTTCTTTCCTTCTCTCTTTCTTTCTTTCATTCTTTCTTTCTTTCTCTCTTTCTTTATTTCTATTCCTATTCATTCATTATTTCTTTATTTTCTTCTTTCTTTCTGTTCCTACCCTATCTTACCTTCCTTCCTTTCTTTTCTTTCTTTCTTTCTATTCCTATTCATTCATTAGTTATTTATTTCCTTCTTTCTTTCAGTTTCTACCCTTTTTCTTTTTTCTTTTTTTTCTTTCTTTTTTTTCTTTTGTTTTCTTCTTTCTTTCTTTCGTTTCCTTCTTTCTTTCTTTCATTCTACTTTCTGTCTTTCTTTTTTTCTATTCCTACTCATTCATTCTTTCCTTCGATTCCTACTCATTCTTTTTTCTTTCTTTCTTTCTTTCTTTCTTTATTTCTATTTCTTCTCATTCTTTCTCACTTTTTCTTTCTTTCTTTCTTTCTATTCCTTCTCTTTCTTTCTTTCTTTCTTTCTTTCCATTCCTTCTCATTTTTTCATTATATTCCTACTCATTCTTTCTTTCATTCCTTCTTTCTTTCTCCTTTCTTTCTTCCTTTTTTCTTTCTTTCTTTCTTTCTTTCTTTCTTTCTTTCTTTCTTTCTTTCTTTCTGTTCCTACCCCTTCTTTCTTTCTTTCTTTCTTTCTTTCTTTCTTTCTTTCATTCTTGCTTGCTTGCTTGCTTTCTTTTCATTTCTCTTGAAGATTTCTTTACCTCTTTTTCTTTTTTCTTTCTTTCTTTCTTTCTTTCTTTCTTTCGTTCTGTTCCTTCCTCTCTTCTTTCTATTCCTTCCCTCTTGCATATCTTTCTTTCTTTCTTTCTTTCTTTCTTTCTTTCTTTCTATTCCTATTCATTCATTCTTCCTTTCTTTTCTTCTTTCTTTCTTTCTTTCTTACCTTGCTTCCTTCCTTCTTTCTTTCTTTCTTTCTTTCTATTCCTATTCATTCATTAGTTCTTTCTTTCCTTCTTTCTTTCAGTTCCTACCCTTTCTTTCTTTCTTTCTTTCTTTCTTTCTTTCTTTCTTTGTTTTCTTCTTTCTTTCTTTCGTTCGTTCTTTCTTTCTTTCATTCTTCTTTCTGTCTTTCTTTCTTTCTATTCCTACTCATTCTTTCTATCTTTCTTTCTTTCTTTCTATTCCTACTCATTCGTTCTTTCTTTCTTTCTTTCTATTCCTACTCATTCCTTCTTTCCTTCGATTCCTACTCATTCTTCTTTCTTTCTTTCTTTCTTTCTTTCTTTCTATTTCTTCTCATTCTTTCTCACTTTTTCTTTCTTTCTTTCTATTCCTTCTCATTCTTTCTTTCTTTCTATTCCTACTCATTCTTTCTTTCTTTCTTACTTTTTCTTTCTTTCTTTCTATTCCTTCTCTTTCTTTCTTTCTATTCCTTCTCTTTCTTTCTTTCTATTCCTACTCATTCTTTCTTTCTTTCTTTCTTTCTTTCTTTCTTTCTATTCCTTCTCATTCTTTCTTCTTTCTTTCTATTCCTACTCATTCTTTCTTTCTTTCTTTCTCTCTTTCTTCCTTTCTTTCCATTCCTTCTCATTCTTTCATTCTATTCCTACTCATTCTTTCTTCTTGCTTTCTATTCATACTCATTCTTTCTTTCTTTCTTACTTTTTCTTTCTTTCTATTCTTTCTCTTCCTTTCTTTTTTTCTTTCTTTCTTTCTTTCTTTCTTTCTATTCCTTCTCATTCTTTCTTTTTATTCCTACTCATTCTTTCTTTCTTTCTTTCTTTCTTTCCATTCCTTCTCATTTTTTCATTCTATTCCTACTCATTCTTTTTTTCATTCCTTCTTTCTTTCTCCTTTCTTTCTTCCTTTTTTCTTTCTTTCTTTCTTTCTCATTCTTTTTTCTTTCTTTCTTTCTTTCTTCCTTTTTCTTTCTTTCTTTCTTTCTCATTCTTTTTTCTTTCTTTCTTCCTATTTCTTTCTTTCTTTCTCATTCTTTTTTCTTTCTTTCTTTCTTACTTTTTTTTCTTTCTTTCTTTCTTTCTTTCTTTCTATTCCTTCTCATTCTTTCTTTCTTTCCATTCCTTCTCATTCTTTCTTTCTATTCCTACTCATTCATTCTTTCTCTCTTTTTTCTTTCAATTCTTACTCATTCTTTCTTTTTTTAAGTTTTTTTTTACTAGGTTTTCTTTCTTAATATTCCCAGTCTTTCTTTCATTCTTGGATGCTCAGCCACATTTGTGTTTATTCAACACCCACAGAGCCCACCTGTGGTTTATACTGCAACTGAGCAGACCTTAGTTACAGTTTGTGGGAGAGAGCGTGTTATCTAGCGTGATCATCAATCTGAACAATCGGTCACGATGACTTGTGGCATCGAGCTAGCACAGCGTTCCATTTACCCAATTTCATCCGCAAGGTTTCACACACGATAACAGTCAAGAACATCAACTGCGATGAGATTCGAAACCCGGTCTCATGGCTACGCGTCCATATATATTTATATATATATATATATGTTTAGGCCCTTTTTTAACCTCATCCTCTAAGATATATATATATATATATATATATATATATATATATATATATATATATATATACGTTACACCTATCTGATCACAGCTCCATTAGAACCCATTTAAATACACACACATATTTACCAGATTCCATTAGAAACATTCTAGTAGAAAACGCAAATATATTAACTGCATCCACTTGCAAAAAAAGACTAAAAATAATGGAAGCTTTAATAATAAAAAAGAAAAAGCCAACTCTTAACAATATTAACTACGAACAAAGCCACAATGTGCTAACCGTATTCGGAAATATAAACATCCCTACCACACACTAAGACATACACAGACCCCACACACTCAATTAAGCTGAAAAATCAAATCATCCTTGATAATGGCTAAAGGTATAGCCTAAAGCGCTCGGAAATATAAAACATTTGGTCAGTTCTTACACACCCATTGTCTAGGAAAGAAAGCTCTTGTTCGAACACAAGAAAAATTAAATAAAATGCTTAACCATAGTACCTTGTCTGTCTTTTTTAATGAACCATGCATAAAGGAAGGATTGCTGCCAAAATATACATATATATATATATATATATATATATATATATATATATATATATATCTTATCCAGTATAAAATTAGAACATGCATATCCACTACAAAATTGTACATTTTTGTTTCAACGTCAAAAATTGGAACACTTTTTTTAGACGCCTCATCAGGTGGGAAATTAATGTGTTACTAAAATGATGAGACGTCTAAAAAAAAGCTGTTCCCTTTTTTTTTGGACGTTGAAACAAAAATGCACAATTTCGTAGTGGATATTCTAATGTAACACTGCATATGATAAATAAATATTTACGGCTCTACTTTGAGCACTATTTTTAAAATAATGTTTTGAACGCTGTAATCCTACTGTTTGTTCTCCTACACTTTGATATATATATATATATATATATATTATACTTCGACATGAAAACAATAGACAAAAACTAAAAATCCTTGAAGCATTATACATCAAACAGTTGAAACCCAACCTAAACAAAATCAAGTATGGAATCTCTACAAATATCCTTAAATGTCTATAATTGGTGACAGAAGCCATTGGTTTATACCAACGGCTTCCCATAGTTAATACTTCTCGAATTCACTCTCGCGTGGTCATGTGTGACGTCATGAGCTGCGGTGCGATTTTCGCTTCTAGCGTCTTATATGCACATGTTCATAGTTACTTGGAAATCATCCATGTAAACAGAAACAGACTATCATCACATTCTTGTCCATGTATTGCTTAATAAATTGTAATTTACATCTTTGATAATTGCTTATGTAAGCCGAAAGCTTACATTGGATTAAAAAATATGGATCAATATTGTGAATTTCTTTGATAATGTTATTAAACTTACCAGACGTTATGAAAAGAATTTACATAAAATAAATAGACAAAACTTGTTTATATTATTTAATGAAACGTGTATGAATATATATATATATATATATATATATATATATATATATATATATATATATATATATATATATAGAGGATAAGGTTAAAAAAGGCTCAAACACTAATATTCCATGGTTATGATTTATTACATTGGAATCGTAATCTCGATCTAATACATCAGACCTACAAATTCAAAAGAAAATTGAATGAGGCAGAAAATGTTTGCCTTTTACCAAGTTTCAACCCCGCCACCTAACGACGTTTGATGAAGTCAATTCGAGTAATCATGTTTTCCAATTTCTTTACACTTAACGTCATGGGGAAATGTGTTTCTTTCTTTATTTTTTTTAATACCCATTATTATTATTTAAGTTATCGATTTTATTTAATTTTCCACAGATTCTTTAGGCAACTCGACTTTCTCCAGCAGTTAATGTCGGCTTCTCCTGCTTTAGGCCTCGCTGCAGACAAAAAGCAAAAGCATAGCTTTGCGCCACGCTGAGGTTAGTCACTTTACAAAAGGAAAAATACATGATTAGCTCACTTGTAATATAGAGACAATTACATTTTATTTGCAAATTTAATTCCTTCTGAAAACAAAAAATCAGACTGCCAAAAGTATAAGTAAGAATAACCCACGATGGCGATAAACGGAAATAAATGGAGATAACTTCACTGTCGATGTCTATTACATGAAAATAAATTCACAAATTCACCTTACTTATTATAAAACGCAGATTGTGTGTGTCTGTACGTTTATATATTGGGCCGGATTTCCTACATTTTTTAACTGATTTCAACAAAACGTCACAGGACTACGTAAAAGTACCTTGCGGTCGTTCTGACAGCGCAAAAAATTGGAAAAACACAATTGGTTTTATAAGAAATCAATTTGAAAACACGATTAAGAGACATCGCTGTCGCGAGAATGAAAGGCAGACAACTCATATCGAGTTATACTTATTATAAACCCCAGGTTGGTTGTGTGTGTGTGTGTGTGTGTGTGTTCGTTTATATATGGGATCGGATTTCCTACATTTTCAACCGATTTCAACAAAACTTCACTTTTTTGGCAGGTAGTGTTTCTTATTGTCTTGCACACTTTTTACTTTATTTTTACATTCAGAATGCTTTAAAAATTCCATTTACAAGACAATTGTTTATAATAAAATTCTATTCAATCGGTAGACTCAAAACCTTTGAAAACAATGTTTTTGTTTAAGTTTGGATTTGATTAATTCGTAAAACAAAAACAACAACAAAAAAAAAACTAATTAAGATATGCGTGTCCGTCAACCTTAAACAATAATCTTTGTCAATTTTATTTTTCAGTCTTTATGATGATGGTCGATACTTGATCTATCTCTTACTGTTACATCCCCGGGAAACGCCGGGCTCTACTGCTAGTAATATCTAAATGATTGTAGAAGACCATCTCTTCACTTGGTAGCTTTTTTTTGTGTGTTTTACTACTCTCCCAAACAAACCTACGCAACTGTAATCAAGAAATTAAAAGAAAATGGTTGAATCCGTCAACAAAACAATAAAAACAATATTTCCCCACGTGACAGTATTTGACATAATTTTCAGTTGACAATATGAATATAATAGCGTTTTCTAAATTCTTCCAGTTGCTAAGGACATTTTGCTTTGTTATTATTAGTTACTTTGTTTTAATGAATTCATTTCGTTTTTTGCCTTGAAAAAGACCACATTGGACGAAACGCGCCGGTTAATAGTACAATTTTTCTTATTGCCTTTACATTTACAAATATTGTCTTTCCCTACAGGTTAAATCTGAGAAATTTTTCATATATATATATATATATATATATATATATATATATATATGTGTGTGTGTGTGTGTGTGTGTGTGTGTGTGTGTGTGTGTGTGTGTGTGTTATGGGAACTTACCCATAATAATAATGGACTATTCCTGACATTATAAATACTGCGCTTTTCAAGAGGTACAGACAGATATTGTAAGACGAGGAGAGATAATTGAGAGTATATTGTAAGGACATTTTAATATTGATACTTGTCGAGACAATATAGTTCACTCTAACCAATTCTGATAGTCATTACTAATACTTCTACTTCTTTGTATTATATTTCTGTTGTAATATATCTTTGTATTCCACACCTGTGTTCGCGTTATTTTTTCATGACGTCGTACCACGTGAGAGAACGAAATATTAACAAGAGAACCATAGGTTTAGCTGCAGTGTAATGTATTGTGACTAGTTTGAAATGTATTTTTGTTGAGTGTGAAATTAAGGCAAATATACGAAGGTTAGAACGACTCATGATTAAACATAATAAATATTCGCTGTCTGTTATATTTAATGATATATTTTTGAATAATGATCTACTGTCCCAATACACACATACACACACACAAACACACACACATATATATATATATATATATATATATATATATATATATATATATATATATATATATATATATATATATTCTTATGGTATATATATATATATATATATATACCAAGTATAGGATTGGTGTATATGGAATAAATTCCAATAACTAACAGATACTATTCTTAAAAAGAGTGCTCAATGCAGAGTAGAGCAAATATAATTTATTTGAAAATTATAACATAAACATGTTATGAAATCACTACAAAAATAGTCATTTTGTTTCAACACGTCTGGTAGACACGAGGCGTGTTGAAACAAATATTATTTTTTAATGATGGTGTTGAATTCTACATTCAACATCATCACTGGATATGACACCAGAAATGTTGAAACAAAATGGCTATTTTTGTAGTCATTATGTTATCATTTTCGAACAAATTATATATATATATATATATATATATATATATATATATATATATATATATATATATATAGATAGATAGATAGATAGATATATAGATAGATAGATAGATATTTAAATAGCCCTGCTACTTAATGTTATATATATATATATATATATATATATATATATATATATATATATATATATATATATATATATATATATATACAGTGGGGGAAATAAATATTCGTACACATGAAAAATTGTATTTTTTATAAATGTAAAAAGCTTAACTAAAGCAAATTTTGATACATTTTATGTGTAAATATACATTTTATTAAAAAATAGTAATAAACTTAATTAATTCTTATTAATTAATGCATTTTTTCGTTTTAACTGATGAAA